TAGTGAAGCTGATGGGTTACTGGAGGTATCAAGCCTAAAAGATTAAATATGTTGGTATATGGGAATTGGAGAACCGAAGCATATGGTATTGGATTCTTAATGAGATATCTGAGCTTGAAGAGAAGAATGAGATTTCGTAAAAGAATGTGTTGAATCAGATTTAGCATATGCCACTGCTACTAGAGACACTAGACTAAGTTATGAAGTGCAACAGAAGAGCATACTCGTGTCCTAAAACTATACTAGGCTCAAGATTCTCAGTTTCGTCTCTGTAAACAGTGTGTGTATCTAGTTTCCAGACTAAAGGAGAAAGATCAAGTGATCAATCTTGTTTAGTTACGTTGAACAGATGGGATCCATGGAAACCGTCAGTGTGAAAGATTGTAGCTTTGGGTATGGTGATGAAGTTTATAGAGCAAAAAGATTATCTCGTCTTGAATTTGGCTAGAGCACAAAGTAAGAAGTAGAACTTATGAGGGAGTAAAACAGAGATCTAGAGGCACGTTGTTGAAAGGATGTATGGTGGAGAAACTAGAGTTGAAGGTTCCTGAGACGAAGATATGGAACATGGAAGTCTTATAAAAAGGAGAGATTGATTGCAAGTGTTGCAGAAACCATGGATGGAGAGAAGCTTGAAAACCAGACAAGTCTCATATTATGTTATAATTTCAGGAAGAAAAGTGTCTTATAGAAGAGGGCTGTGTTTGTGAAGTCTGAAGTCTACTGCTTGAAATGGATATAAGCTTGTAAAAGCTCCCGCAGTGTACCAGTAATTGTTGAGGCTGTCTGGTCTTCTAGTGGATGACCTTATGATGGAAAATTATGTCATGTAATCTTGACTTATACTTTGCAGAATGTCATGGATACCTAAGTAAAGAGAATCAAAGATTTGAGACAGGTTTCGGGTCGGATGAGATAGAACGGTGTTATGGCATGAGAGAAGAAAAAATGCTTAAATGATCTCTGAGACTAAGTAATAGAAGATAAGCCAGTAGATAACAAAATCTTTATCTAGAGCAGATTTTGGCACAAGAAAGCGATCTGTTTCTGCTTAGTGAAGTTCTGCATTTGTTACAAATCTCAAGGATAGTTGCAGAAATTAGTTCTGAGATGAGTTATTCAAGGCAACGTGTGGGGATCCAAAGGTGCTTTGATTGAGCTAAATTTTTGTGGGGAATGTCATGACACTGGTGGCTTGAAATTCAACGGTGGGATTGAGATTCCAACGGTTGATTTGTGTTTTACTAGAGCTTCTTCAACCTGATTCAGTGGCATCACTTGAATTTCTTGATTTGACCAGGTTCTGGTGTAAACATCAAATGGGCAACGAAATGGATCCGGAATGAGTTAAAATTTGGCAGAGATTTTTTATACATGCAGAACTAAATCGTCATAGGAGGGAATTGGATTCGAACTTCAAGATCATAGTTGAATGATGAAAGTTAAGAGACGTCATATTTAAGTCATGTAGAAGATATATGGCCTTGCTGCTTGTTACAGAAAGATCATGTCATATTGGTGCAAAGGTTAATGATATGTTCGGATAATTATTTATGTTTCAGAGGCACGTCATTACAGAATACCAGTCTGATGATAAGTTCGGTTATAATGGCCAAAACTAGCTTGGGTTGATCTTCACTTTGCAGGAATCGTTTGGCTTTGTGTAAAAAGACTTTCAGAAGCAGGATGGATCAGTAGGTCGTGGTGCCTAAGCTTCATTGGCCACAGCTATTAGTAAGAGAATTCTCAGGTTATCAGGATGGCTTAACACAAGATTAGATATCCGAGGAGGTTGAGCTAAGTTTCTGCAGTAGGCTGAAGTTTATCAGTGATTGGACAAGAGTGTTTCCATGGATCATGTTGAACCACAGAGCTGACACTGAGACATGATAGTTTCATTTCTGCAGAAGACATGCAAAGCATAAGATATTTTTTTTTGAGAGATGATAAGGTCATAATGTGCTTTTGGTGATGCAAAGCTTCTGAATCTCTTGCCAAAGTTCTGTTTTGACAGAATATGAATATGTGTCCAAGCTGATGTTGTGATATACAAGACTACAAAGGAGTGTGTTTCTGAGTTCTAAAATGCCATCAATGCTAGTGTGCTCAAGTGTTGTTTCTGATGTCTTAGATATATAAAAAGAATATGACAGTTATATAAGCCTCGCAAGAATGTGATTCAAAGGAAGATGAGTGTGTGCTATCATATTGAGTTTCAGATGACCCGATAATCTCATGGTTCTGTAACAACTCCAGCAATGGTTCTCTGAATGATTGTTTATACTTCAAAAGCATCAATGGTTCTGATTGGAGGAATATATGGTTTAAGAAGTGAAGAAAATCTCTCAGATCTCTGAGTAAAGAGAAACAGTGTGAAGATGAGTTTCTGTTGAAGTAATATATGGAGACAGAGCATATCCATTGCATTAAGAGTCTGTGAGATTTTCAAGATGTGAAATAAAGCATTTGAAAAGATTAATTTGTCACAAGCAGCAGGTTGTAGATACGTGGAGGATTTTTGAGATGAAGCAAATGTGTTTATGCGTGAACTGTCATCAGTAACAGATCTCAAGAAGGTTGATGTATCAAGAGAATTCACCAGCAAATGCATTCTTTTAGTATTAACTCGGAATGATGAAGATCAGAATAGTCTCAGTGGTTCTCAAAGATCAAAAGGATACTTATGTTGGCTGTTGGTTCGTGATGTTATTGCTTAAGAACTGCTACTGCATCAACTAGAAACTGTTCTGTGCGTACGACAGGCTCAGATCCTGTACTATTGGCGTCAGCGGTGTCTGGTTGATGTCAGGACAGCTGATTCTACGCGATTATCATCTACGAAGCCTCATGTTATTGTTAAAGCAGAGATACTCAGGTCCCAGTACTGCTTACGGGAACGTCTTTGAGAAGTGTGTGATTGTGGCTGGCTCAGATTCTGTCTTTATGCAGTTGGCGTTTTGGTTTTATTTTCTAGGTTGGTGATGCAAGAAGCTGATTTGTGCTCATGTGAGAAATAAAGCTGAGTACAAATTCTGTTAATCAGAGAAAAAGCTGCCAAGAGCTGGAAGATTCGTAAAATGGAAGTGGACCAAGTGGGGATCTTGATATTAAAATGTTACTTCAGAGACTTGATCAAGAAAGCCTGAGATTCTTGGGAAATATTTTTTTTTCTCTGCTCTGGACCATAAAACTTCAGAGGAGTACAATTTTGAAGCAACAATGTTAAAGTCAATGGGTTAATCTCTGGTCTGGAAGGGATAATAAGTGTTAAAGCTCATGTGGTTGTTTTCCAGAAGAAAATCAGAGATTAGTTATAATGCTTATGAGACAAGTTCTGGGTTAGAGGTTCTGATTAGCTCCTTCGCATTATTCGGCAAACATTAAGGCTGAGAAAAGATGTGCAGAAGACTTAAGTACGTAACTTGATGAATATATGTTTCCACGTGACTTTTCTTAAAAGCTGTAGAACTGGCGCTGGCAAGAGATAGAGACGTTGGTGCATCTATAATTCTGAGAACTAAATGGTGCAAAGACTACATACCTCGTTACACGAGAATCTGTAGTGACATGATGACTCATCTGCAACATGGAAATATACTCGATGACTGATCTGTTTTCAAGGAAGTGGTCAATTGTTTTGGGTTTTAACTTAGTTATGCACTCAAGCAGGGGGAGAAGACAATGAGACATCTGATTTACGAACTTATTGGGAGCAAAACGCATCCAGAAGTTAAAGCTAAATGCATACAGAACTTATTTTGTAGTTGGGTTGCAGGGGGCGTATTATCAAGGGAGAGTTTTAGATAAACTGTGAATACAAACTGAAAGAATGCGCCTTGCTTTGAGTTGTTCTTGTCTGATCACACACGAGACTAGTTGGATGTCAAAGATGCGCTAAATAAACTCATTGCTTGAGTGTCAAACTAAGCTAAAAAGGGAGAGAATGAAGATGATTGAGAGTGTGTGCTTGGATTCTAAAACTCAGTCACCAAGGGAGAGATTGTTAGTGTTGTGTTGACTAGTTTGAGAAGGTGTTTAGTTTGAGAGGGTGCATGGTTTCTAAAACGCAGTCATCAAGGGAGAGATTGAAGATGTAATGCTGACTGGTTTGAGAAATTAATATTTAAAGTGTATCAGGAGGCATTACATGAAGTAGACCAGGACGTGGTTAGGACGTACATCAGGAAGTAATTCAAGAAGTACATCAAGAACTACGTCAGAAACACAGCTGTGCGATTGCTAACAAAAAGCTGAAGTATAGAAGTGGATAACAGCTTAGGGACGATTTGGACAAGCCAAGAAGTGTCTGCTGAGCTGGATAATCATCTTAAATAGTATGTTTAAGATGAGAGAAGATTTCCTTATTCTTAAGAGAAGAAAAAGGAAAGATTGTGTGGAAACCCTAAGTTTAGGGTGTAGCAATCAAATAAATACCAGGAGCCCGTCAAAGAAAAATAGTACGCGCCCAGGGTATTCTTGAGAGAGGCACACAGGTGTGTGGCGTCGTCCNGGAAAGATTGTGTGGAAACCCTAAGTTTAGGGTGTAGCAATCAAATAAATACCAGGAGCCCGTCAAAGAAAAATAGTACGCGCCCAGGGTATTCTTGAGAGAGGCACACAGGTGTGTGGCGTCGTCCCACCAGACAGATGGTGAGATCTGTTGGTGGTTTAGTTATAGAGAACTATGCTCTTCATAAAATCAATGAGTAATAGTTGCTCTAACCATTGTAATCTAGATAAGCGTGGTAGGCACAAGTGTGTGCTAGATACCATATAGCAATTGTAGGTTGCCGCCTTTTCTAGTGAATGGTTTCTGGACATGGTCCCGGGGATGTAGGAAACGAACCTCGTTAACAAATCTCTATATGTTCTTTAATTTATGCTCATTCATATTTTATATGCACTTGAACACGTACTACTAGCCACAATATGCATTAACAATTATTCTGTTTTGGGTTTTGTGTCAGCATCTCATTCGTTTATGGTCACTTGTTTAGCAGATGGGGATTGCTGTTAGTCAGGCCTTGCAACAAGATAAATCACGCACTTCGAAAAATGGGGTATGTTTACTACCATCACTGAGCCTTGCAAATGATACCAGGTTCATTTGATCAAATCTCTGTATGAATCTAGTTGAAAGCTGGTTAATTCATTGTGTTTAGCAGGAATATTCCTGCAGTCTAAACTCCAACAAATTTTATCTTTCTCCTCAAATCTGGGCTCTATTGAGAAGCAGAGAGGAAATATTTGGTTAAAACATGCATCTGTTTACCTTTCAGGATAAGTCTCTGCTCATTTTAAATCAGATTCATGGTTGGTTAGAAGAGCAAATTAATTGGGTGGCTCTTCGCTTTCTTATACTCGGGTTTGAGCTAGAGCTCTACTCTCCGAGTGAATTTTGCATGGTGTATTGGTACATGTATATTACACTTTGTAAGCTCGCTGAAAGAGCACGTGTCAGGGTATTACTTGTAGTTAACACTGGTAAGCATTCATATATATATCCATTTGTTTTTTTAGAATAATTGGTCCGATTTACGTATTTGTACTTTAAATCAGAGGAACGGAAGGCAAAGAAGAATAAGAATTATCATAGGGATATGGCTCGGGAAGATCGGATAAGTCTATGGGTATTGCTTCTCCAGTGTCAGACTTGCCTTGCACAAGGGCTCACGGTGGTATGTTTTTTTTCTTCAGTGTTTGGCTTTCAAGCTCCTAATTCCGTTGATGTTATCATGTGCTTTTCTTAAACCTGACCAAAACCATGTGCGTCACCTATAGATGCTTTCGGCTTTAAGAAATCAAGGGATGTGTTTAAAGAGTGAAGGACCTTTTAATACTGAAAGTGAGGTAATAAGCATAAGTCCCTTCCCTGTTGCATAGTTTTTGAGTTGAGAGGTGTAAGGATTTTGAAATCCTACCATTTTCCTGGATGATGTACAGAAATTCACTCAGCATTTTGAACTCCTTCAGAAGGCATCGCTTCCCGAATATGATGCATATGAATCATTTACAAAGTCCACATCTCATACTCGTCTCGATGTAAGTGATCTACTCGACCTCTTTTCGTTTAATGCTTAATCTCACCTCTTTTTGTTCAATGCTTAATCTCATTTACTTTATCAAAGTGAATCATAGACCAGCATCATTGTAGAATATTGTACGATAATCATTTACGTCTACTGCAGTGCCTTCCTGTGCAAGAGTACTTCCGGGACGCTCAAAAGATCGCTAGGGACATAAAGGTCGGGTTCGCCAAAGATCCTGATAAGTTGGCTGAAGTCAGGGGATTAGAACAAGTCGCGGAACACAATATTGTTGCTGTGAACCTCATCAGTCAAGACTGTTCGCTTAAGGTGTCGTTTGAGTTCACCCACCATCCTTATTTCGCCACTGCTGTTGTCCGTAGATCTTGAACTCTTCTCTTATTCTCACTTGTTGGCATCCAAATTCCAGTTTTTGGGGATAAGCTTCATTTAAGTTTTTGAAACAAGTTTCTCTCTCTCAGCTTCTCTCACCATTCCTCCTTGCATTCCTGTTTGAGAAACTTCAGTTACTAGTTAACTTTTCTGAAAATATTCATCAGTTTTCATAAACTTTCAAATGTGTTTTGCAAACAAAAGAACAATATTTACTACTTACTGGAAACTTTTATGATTATTCTGTAGGACAATCCGAAAAACTATTCACGTTCATGTACTTTCCTCTCTTACGGCCGAAAACTACAGTGAACGCTAGTTGTTTTCTAGTCCTTTTTCTTTATCTTTGTATTAATTCAAAAACAACAAATTTGACCGAATTTGGTTTTTAAAGTGTTATTTTATTAGTTTATTTCTCTTATCAAACGAATGGCTTCTCTGTAGCTACGGAGACACCCCCACACTTCAACCCTAAATTTACTATCTGTTCTAGAACAACTGTTGGAAACTTTTGTATTGCATTATATATTAGAAAATTCTCAAAAATTCTCTCAATTTCTAAAATTAAATAACTAACTAAATAACAATTAATATTTCATTAAATATAAAATTAATCTAAAATGTGTTTAATATATACTAGTATTTGAGAGTCCCACTATACAAAATGTGCCAATCATTACTCAAAGATACGTTTCATCTTTTTTACTCCCTCTGTTGTTAATTATAGGGCAATTTAGCTCAAAAACCATACAAGATAGCGTAATTAGGTATCTACCAAAGAGGGATAAAGCACTGGGTACGTGGAGTATGAGGAGAGTGTGAAAAGACAAAAGAACCCTGCCCGGAAGACTTGTTCGCTACTCGAGTTGACCTTCTTCTCTCAGCTTCTGACAGAATATCATCTGAAAGATTTGGCAAGATAATTAGAAGATTTGGTGTACATTAGCATAAGGAGCCTCGGTATGATCGAAAATTTATCCCCCACAAAATATCTCTGACGCATACGGCGCAACTGTTAACAAAATCTAGGCTAAGATTTCCTAAAATTATTTTTTAATTTAAGAATAATCGGAAAACCCCACCGCTTACACTTACTCTCTCTGCCTTTATAAGTTGCAGTTAGACGGTTTGAGCTTTCTTCAGAAAGAAAGGTGGGTAGTGTGAGAAGTTAATTCCGTGACGGAAAACAGTTGGAGAAACAAAGTGAAAAAGGTGAAAAACATTCTTTCGTTGCTTTAAATGTAGCGAATACTGCAAGTGTTGTTAAATCCGTTATGTTCAAAGTTTATTAATGTTCCTTAGCATTAACTACAAGTTTTCAATCATTGGTTCTATTTAACTGATAGAAACTTAACTTTCTTCCACAGGAATGGGTCGTGTGTTCAGAATCTGGCATGGTGTGTGGAAAAAGAACGTTCAAGAGCAGTGGTACTTTGTCCCAAACCATGATGATTTCGGCTTTACGATGTACATGGATTCCCCTGAGGTCTTTCCGGTGATTGATGCTACCGTCAGGGAATGGTACATGCTCCGTCCAGACACTCCGGTTATCTTAACGTACGGGATGCCTAACTGGATGCTCTTGCCAAGTGGACCTTGCACGCCGAGAAGGATTGCTACGACAGAAGACTTGGTGAGTTTGTTGACGGAGAGGCCACCACTAACTGACATAACTCTCCTCTGTACTTCCGGAGCCAAAAGCGTGGCCGAGTTTCATTTTCTCTGTCGCTCTGATTTCACCATAGGAGCGTCAACCTATGTAGTGGGAGAAGGTCAAGATGAGAGAACAAGATCTAGATATGAGAGTAAGTATTTGTCAACGTTTATAAATGGCTAAGACCTCAAATCATTGTGAAATATTTTGAGGAGCACCTAACTCATTACATTTTTTAACAGGGTTGGTGCTGGGAGAGAGACTCGTTGTGAGTGAAAGTGTTATGAGAGAAGTTTTTGGGGAGGAGGAGATGGCAATCCTCCACCGTGTTGCACTTGAGATGGCTTATGCTGATAGGATTCTGGGACGTGCAACGGATGATGGTGTGGTCCGAAGAATGGAGATTATCCAGCTTGACGACGATGCGGAGATGGCTGATGTCACTCACAACATGGCCTCTTCTGAGGTTACTGTGGCCGCGAACAGAGGTATGTAACACGCTATTAGCAAAACTTTCTTGCAGAGGGACAAAGTATTTTTTTTCTTTCTAAGCATTGTGGGGTTGTGGTGTACAGGTACAATGGTTCCCTTCGAGCCCCAACAAGAGCCTCCCACTCCTGGTACAGAAGCACCATCGGTGCTTTGGGATGTTGGGCTCGACTTGTTCAACTATCCAGAGATGTATAACACCGAAATGGAACGTCGTAAGCTAGCTGAGGACGCTGCATTTTGGGAAGCTGTCATTCAAGCAAATCTCGAGGCTGATGAGGAGGTAATGTACATTGCCAGCCATAACGAAATCCGCGTGGGGTTGGCTCTAGAGGAATCTAGGAAGGAAGGAAATGGAGACGGGTCATCATCATCTGCAAATGTCATCAGGCGCCCTCCGGTTGGAACAGAGGATACCACCAAAGAGAAGGAGGTTGGCAGCAATGAAAAGGGAGGTGAAGGTATTTCTAAATCTATCTACCTATTTTTAAAACATGTTGATTATGGTAAAATAATTTGTCGTATATTTTTCAGTCACAGAAGTAATTGATCTTGATGCGGCTGAAGGGAGCAACATTAGCAAGCCAGCTGTCACAGTTAATGTGACGGTTGGAGGAGGCTCAGCATCAACTCATGGTCAGCCAGAGGCAGCTCATAAGTCGGGGAATACTTCTTCGGAGGGCAGCGACGACGACGGTGGGTCTTGAATGGAAGTCATGTAGTGTGAAATGAAATGTTAAATATGGTAGTACGTATATTATCTTTTGGCTTATTCAGGGTAAGGTGCGGTTAATGGTCGGTTACAACAAAGTTTAACCTCAAGTGGACTGTTTTTGTAAGGGTTAAACTTTTAAGTAACCGACACAAACTCTACGTATTTAGGTGTGTTTTTTTTTGGAAATTGTCATGGGGAAGTTTGTGGTATTAAAGGTCGCTATGTAGGGGTTGGATGTTTATCTGATGTAAGCAAAATGATGCACTACTTTCATGGTTTTATGAAAAATATAATGGATATGTTTCATGTTTATATTAGGTGAAACTGGTATTGAACACGGTTTGGTAACACTTATCTAATGTTACTGTTCAATATGATGTTTTCTAATGTAATTTGACTCATCAAAATAAAGTGTGCAATTAGTATTCATAGCCGGCTAACCGGTTTTATTGTATTTCGCTGCCTACGAAATTAGCTAAATTGCGCAAAATTTTATACTATGACGAAGGTGTGTTGGTAGACGTCTTGTTAAGTAAGGAGGATATATTATTAGCTTATGTACCACAGTGGAAGGTTGCTGTGAAAAGTTTAATAATATTAGCCAATTCGTTTGTACGACTTTGGTAAATGACATTATATTATAGGTTTCCATACGGGAGAGAACAATTTCGGTAACCCGGTTAAAGTTGGTTAATTATAAAGTTAAAAATATTTTTGACCGGTTATACTATCATGCCTAGTGTCTAACTAGGAAAATTTTTGAAGTGTTAATTTATTTTTGTTTTTTTCAACAGGGGCTGAAAATTATGCGTTTGGACAAGAAATAAAAGTTGGAATGATGTTCAGGAACCGTGATGCATTCAAGCATCATGTAGCAATGTTTGCTATTGCGCAGAAGTTCTGTTTCAGATGCACAAAATCTGATCCTGCGATGATGGTATTGCAATGCATTGGGGCATCTTGCCCATGGAGAGTGTACGCAATTAAGATGAAGGATTCTGAAGTGTTTGAGGTGAGGAGAGTTGTCAGAGTCCATAACTGTTCTATCGATGACATGGTCTGCACGATTTTTACACAACTTTCAACCAGATCAAAGAGATGAATCCTTCCTGTGCAGCCTACTTGATAGATATTGGTTTTGAACACTGGGCGCGTTCTCATTTTCCCGGTAACAGGTACAATGTAATGACGAGTAACTTGGCGGAATCGTGGAATTCTGTGTTGCGCGAGGCCAGGGAGTTTCCAGTGGTCCCTTTGATTTGAAACTCACAACGTGGTTCTCTCTTAGGCGTACTGCAGCTAACAAGCTTGGTGGGGTGGTTACACCTCGCATTGAAGCAATCCTCACAACAAACTTTGAGATGACAGGAGGATATGAGGTTCTTCAAATTGCAGAGAAGGAATATGAAATTCGTAACAAGACTGCCGTAAGTTTCCTTGTTAACCTAAACACAATGACATGCAGCTGTTTTGAATTTCAGATGCTAGCTATACCATGCTCTCACGCTATTGCTGCGGCCCTGAAAGCTAAGATAAACATAAACGACTTAGTCATCGAACAATACAAGGTGAACACACTCAGGATTGCGTATGGTGGAATTGTCCTACCTCAGACAGGTTCAACCGATGGTATAGAACTGCCAGCTAATATAGCGGAGCTTAACTTATCTCCACCTGCAACCCGCCGTCCACCAGGGAGGCCTAAGAAGCTGAGGTACTTCTCGAGGGGAGAGAAGCGTGTAAGTCCCCTAACTTAGGTATTTTTGTTATTCGTTTGTAGTCTGTCGTTAAGATATTTAAAATTTCGTAGATGAAATGCGTTCGCCGGAAGATAATGTGTAGCAGGTGCAAGGGCGTTGGACACAACAAAGCCACTTGCAAGAACCCAATATAAGAGAATGAGTGCGATCAAGTAATAGGAAGTGAATTTCGTGCGAATGGGGTGACTTGTAATGGACGGAAAGGTGGAAGCAAATGGTGGAATAAATGACTAATTATGTTTAATATATATACCAAGACACCATGCTGGGTATGTAGGGGCTTTGGATAAACGCTTTGTGTTATAAATAAGAAGTTCTCTTCGGGTTTATGTTGTTTATTATTAAGATATTTGCGTGTGATGTTTATTAGGAAAAACAG